AACTTCCAAGCGCCACAAAACACACCACAAGCCTCACCGAATATCTCCTTGCTACCGCGATCTCGCCCACAGGAAGCCACGACCGCGTGGCAGCAGGGAAAATGGCCGCAGATCCGGTTCGTAAGTCGAGGCGGAGTTCGCAAGTAGAGGGAATTTTGGGGCAGGAGCTGGTCGTATCTTGAAAAATTCGTAAGGAGGGGTGTTCGTAACTAGAGGTACCACTGTAAAACAAACTTTGGTAACTCAAACGAGGAGAATAGTTGTTGGGTGTTGGTGAATACTGGAGTGTCACCCAAAATGTTGTGGCGTGTCACCTTTGACGTATGTCATAGGTTCACCATCACTGATCTAAAGGCAAGTCTAGCTCTCTTTTGAAAGAGCACTAAACTTGTGTGCCTAGACCTATGTCCCAAAATAGTGCCGCTGATGTAACACACTCTGTCAGCTATTTTTCCTGACAAGTCACAAGTGCAGAGCAGTTTTGCACCTGTGACCTGTCAGGCGGGTAACTTGACAGCTGGCTAAACTGCTGTTCAAACTATCCGCCTGCCCTGATCCAACCCAGCCCCTCCCACCCCATACCAAGGAAAGTGATTGGTGATTGCTTTCTACCAGCAGGGGATGCTCAGTAGAAGGAGAAACAAAACCAGGGGAAACTACTAACCACTTTCCTGAACGTGACCCACATTAAAGCTGTAAGAACTGCACCAAGTAGTTACTGGCTCGGTAGTGTAGCTTTTGCAGTGAGTGATGCACAGAGGAAAGCACATTAACCCAGCAATTTAGCCATGTCGCTTCACCCCCCTTTCTCCTATATCCCCCAGTTCTGTCTTACCTCTTCCTGACTGTTTGCAATCCAACTCTTTTTCTTAAGCAAAGAAAAGGCTAGAGTTCACAGTGCCTGTAGGAACATGCAACCGATTGCCTCACGTTGACCCAAATGTGTAATCTCCCATCAGCAATTTGTTTTTTAAATCCTGCATGACAGCATGAAAGAAGAGCAGCCACAGAAAAGTCACATTTGCACATCACAATAAGCCTGAATTGCTGGCTTCCCCTGGTTTACTATGAAAAAAAAATGTGCTGGGGTAGAGAGAACTCATTTGCCTGCACTTTGTTCCCCCTTCATATGGCTGGATTTAAAAAAAAAAACAGTGGAAACCCTGATTTACTCCCACTTAAAAGGGGTGTTTGGGAGCATTAAGCAGGAAGTTGGATCTTACAGGGTGTCTTTCATTTCTGGTTTACCTTGTCTACTATAATCAATTGCAAAGCAAGTAAGAGGCATGCATAAGTTTCACATTAATATGGGTCGAGCCATTCAGTTGCAGATAAGCCACTTGCCCCTGCTGGTGTTCTCTGGGTCAGAAAATCTAAAAAAGTGGATATTGCTAATTTTTTTTTTTTTTAAACAGCAACAACTCCAACCAGAAAGGATCATTCATACTGCAGGCATGTGATATGTGCGGGAGCTTTTAAATGTACGAGTTAAGGGGCAGTAGAAACTTTGTATTTTGTCCATAAAAATGTTCAAATTAAATTCCAAACCTTTTCAAGCAGAAGCAAACCATGATAACACAAAAATGACACCACCCTTGGTGAGATCACACAAATGCTGCTCTTATGAACTTGTGTTTCACTATCAAGCACAAGTATGTAAATTGCAAAATTTTTGTCATTTCCCTCCTCTCCTCTCCGCCCCACCTCCGATGTCCATGATTTTCATGTTGGGGCTGGGAAAAATTTTTCTCAGAAACTCTGAAGAGTAAAAGTCAAGAAGGACCCTGTGCTTTATTTCAGTATCAGGCAGCTTTCCATTTTCTAGTCCATCAAATATAACAATTAGAGAAAAAGAGAACTGCAGCCAGGGACGGATTAAAATCTTTATAATGCTTAGGAACTGTCATAATCATTGGCCTCTGACATAAATCTTTAGAAAAATATTGGTGTTCTAGGTAGAGACCCCATAATAGAGCTTACGTGGCACTATCCAGAGAATTTCGGGGATCAAATTTGAAATGAAACCACAATTTATTTTATCAGGTATAATTCCAAAGCACATTTTAAAAAGTGTAATTTATTAAGATACATGTTCACAGTTGCGTGTATAAACTTTGCACCATACTGGAAAAAAGACATAGTATCAACAATCTCATATCTATTTATCAGAAGTTTAAGCAAGAATGGCTTCCATATATATTACATATTACACAACCGGGTAAATACAAACATTTAGAGTATGGTTTTTAAAGCTTACATCACCAGGCACTACAAGTCAGTTGGGGTAAAAAGACAGGGAAGTCAGAAATTAAAGGAGGAAAGATTTTTATGATCTGAAGAGACACCAGAGAAATTAAATATTTACCTATATTATTTTTAGGAGTTTTTTTTCTTTTTTCTTTCTCTTTTTTAAACATGCATAAACAATAATATAGAGGAGATTTTGGCATTAAACTAAAAAATGTATACTTTTTTGATATCATAAAAATAATACATTCTGCTTGGAACCCTTATTAAAGTCCTATTGAATAATAATTGCACAACCTCAGTAATTATCTGTTTATTCATAGATAATATCTTTTTTGTAAATATACTTTTGTTTAAAATAAAAGGATTATAATATGGCTAAATAATAATAATAACAACAGAACTATTGATACACTTCTTAAAAGAGGGAAAGGAATATATATTTGTATATCTGTATATGCTGTATCATTGTGTGGGTGTGTGTATGGATATATATAAATAATAGAGCTTTCTAATAACTTGACAATGTATACACATATATACCAGATAGGGGAAACTGTGTTAGATTTATTTTTAGAGCATGAAATGTTAGGAGCCAAGGACAGTTGGGTGTTACATGGGTAGGACTGGGATAAAATCTCAAAACATGCCTTTTCTTTTTTAGATCAAAGAGTGATTGGACGCCTGCCCCTCCCAGTGTCAGAAGAATCAATGCAACAATAGCCTTCTTCAGCCTGCGCCCTTTAGAGCTGCTTGTAGTCCCCCAGTTCCTTCCCTGTGTCACACATGCAGAAGTTGGTCGGATCCTTTGTTCTATTTTGCCCGCTGCTCATCTGTTCAGCAACTGGCTCCAGAGAATCCACTTCTAGCCAGCCCCCCTTGCCAGTACCGCTGGCCACTTTCAACCTTATGCTGTCATTTATTCTCACATTCTCTTACACAACACCCATAACCCTTCTTCTGGTGGATAATCTCTTCACTTTTCCCCAAACAATTACAGGATATACAACAATACCTTAATCTCCCCTTGTCACTACAGCTTCATGTTTTTAACAGACATTGGCACGCTTCTTTGGGGTCTTATTTAGGGCAGAGGAGTGCCTGTCAAAGAGGGGATGGATGTATTGAAATGTCAGTGCATGGCGACGGGCATCCATGTGTCCCCTGCTGTGTTTTTGAGCCTTTATGAGAAGGTCACAAATTTGGTTATACAATGTGCAGAAGGTGCTTGTAGAAGGTGTTACTTTGAGTCCCTGGCATCTTCTTTAAACTAATTCACATTTCCCCTTTCAATAAAGCAATTTTCTCCTGCTTATGGTGCAGACAGACAGGGCAAGAAGGCAACATGATTCACCTATGGAAAAGGCTGTGTAAACTCTGTATTGAATAAATTCTCTCTTCTAACTTACCTTGTTTCCAGAATGGGTATGTTTGGCCAGTGTTGTGTCAGGGTGAGTGGATTCAAATTAAATCTGAGTTTGGTTCAGCAATAACACTAACAGAGATAGTTTGCAGGTGCCCCACTACCACCACCACCACATGAGAAAACAATTGGAGAATAGATTGCATTAAAGTTGTACGCAATCGAGTGTCAAGGAGAGAAAGATAACTAACTGAAAAGACACAGTCCACACTACAGTGTTTTGGTAAAAGTCCCTCTTGTCATTCATAGAAATCATCATTCAGAAGTTGTGTGTGTGGAAAGAGATAATGTTAAAACTAACTGAAATGGCAAAAATACAAGGAATTAGTAGTCAATGGAGTCTGAAAGGTACTATGGCAGTGTTCAGACAACACATGATAATAATTGTGAATAAACAGAGTGTTGGTATATGGAAAAGGCTAATGAAACCAGACAGTTCAGCCCACAGCTTATTCAGCATTAGGGGTCCATTGGGAATTCTGGCTTGTTTCTAACAAACCGGTGTCATAAACCAAGAGCAAACCTTGGGGAAAAGCCATCCAGTTTGCATATAATGCTAAACAAATGGTATGATGAGCCTGTTCAGGTTTCCTTCACTGTTCTCGCTGGCAGGAGAACCAGACAGGAGCAATGGACTAGCTCAACGGAGCTCTTTTGCTGCATCTAAAATTAAAAATGGTGTGTTTGCAAAGGGAGAGAAATTACTGTTTAAATACTGATAATGTTGTAAGAACCACAATCTTCTTAAGTCTTTCTCTGTAAATCAGTGTTTCTCAACCTTGGCAGCTTTAAGCAGTGTGGACTTCAACTGCTGGCTGGGGAATTCTGGGAACTGAAGTCCACACTGCTTAAAGCTGCCGAGGTTGAGAAACCCTGCTGCAATTCATTGCTGTTCTGTTCATTTTTGCACACATGTTCCCACTGAAAAAATACAAAGCAAGCAAATCTCATATTTTATTAGAATAGGAATCGAAAGTAGCAAGCAAAGAAAGTTTACAGGCACACCAGTGACATATGTGACATTTTCTGTAATCCATGGAGGGCATAATTTGAGTTAAGCCTCCCCCAAGGTCTCTCTTGCTATTTGCAGACTAGCTTCCTAGACCAAGTCATGATTCATTCGACCATGTTTTACTGAATAAACCACAATCGGCTAAATTCACACACAGTGCTAATGCATAAATAGCAGTTTACAAATCTCAGCGGCTGGATTTACAAACCATGCTAAGCCAGAACAAAGCAACCCACATTACGGCTTAGTGTGACATGCAAGTGGATCTGATCTGTGGAGAAGAACAGCTTGTGTGGTTCTGACTTTGGGAGAAAGCAGTGAAGCCATAAGAAAGAGCACGTGCTTTTATGTACTAAGATCTCCAGGGACCGGGACCTACCTTACAAACTGCATGGAAAGCGTTTAGAGCAGGACCAAATTCAGCTTCCAAGCCTCTACAGGTTTTTCCATTTTGTCATGCTAGAATCGGTCCTTGGTGGGGGTCTGTGAGTGTTGCAATATATAGCTGGATCCTCATGATGCTTGATGTTACTCCCCTTCCCCCATTTGCTGCTTCATCATTCTTAATCAGAGTTTACCACAAAAACTTTTGCATATAAGAGTTGAGCCATTTCTGTCTCTCCATTGCGGTTAACATCTTACTTTTCTCTCGGAAGGCTGCGTCATCTGCTACCACAATACTCCGCTTCCCGCGCCACCCTGGAACCCAGCCAGCTGAATCTGCTGTTCCCTTTTGGCTCCTGGCAGCTGGACCTTCCTCTCTTGTTGAACCCCATAGGTGGGATTTCCTGTTCTGCTCTTCATAGCTGTTGTCATCATCTTGTGGGGCTGTGACATCTGAAGACACCCATTTGAGACTCCAGTCCTGCAGGGTGATGGAAGGTATGTGGAAGCCCCAAGGAACAAGGTCAGCCTTGAGGTCAACGTTGCTCTCTAACTCAGGGTACTGGGAGACATCACGCTTCCCAAACTTACTGGGAGAGAAAAGATACTTGAGGTTTTTTTTTAAAGGGGAGAAAGATTAAAGATTACTAAAGTTCTTTTGTGAGAAAAATGTAGCACGTGTTTTTTCAGACTTTGTTCAAATGTACGTTTCTAAAAGCTGCATGTCATAGAACAGAATTACACAGCGACCTAGTTTATGTATCCTGCTAAACTATAATGTATTTTCTTTAGCTGATGGCTTAACATGTTGCGTGAATCCAATCAATTGTGGCTTCTTGCACAGTTAACCAAACTACGATTTGGTGAATGTGTGAATTTGGTTAATATTCATTTGCTTTTTTCTTCTTCTCTCAAATAAAGAAACATGGCTTCTTTCATTAGAGCAGTGATTCTCAACCTTGGCAACTTTAAAATGTGTGGACTTCCAGAATTCCCCAGCCAGCCTTGCTGGGGTTGAAGTCCACACATCTTAAAGTTGCAAAGGTTGAGAAACAGTGCATTAGAGAGTGAAATTACAAGGTAGCTAATAGGAATAACAGATGGATAAGTAATTTAACCACTAAGAGAAAATGGAAAAAACCCATTTGGAAATCACTTTCATCTCTTTTTAATTCTCAGGTGTATTGAACATAAAGTTCAATTCTGATCCCTCACGGGCAGTTTGAAGTTCATCTTAATGGCTTTTGAAATGTTTGTTTAGGGGTCAAACTGATGGAAATCCCAGTTTTTGTCTGGTTCCCCACTGACTTTTTTAAAAAAATGTAAGAAAATATATTTTGGAAAAGGTGCCTGGAGAAAGTTAAGATTTAAAAAGAAAAAAACGGGATTCAGGGAGTTACAATAGATGAATCCTGATCGGTGGTATTCTCTTCACGCCCCCCACCCCCCGTCAAGCCTTATGATTGGATATGAAGAAGATCATCTATTGTGTGATTGGGAAATAGAAATGTTAGCAGCAAACATGCTCCCTGACCATGGATCCCTCTGAATCTCTGAGGCAGATGTCAGGTTTCAATGGCAGTGTGATTTGCTTTGAACTATATTGGTGTTGAGAGCAAGGAAGAAGTCCTTGATGGAGACATGCAAACTGCACTGCCAAGGCGACAAGGGGTAAAACAAGTCCACAACATCCAGACAACATTCAGAAGTGGCTCAGACAGACACTCCCCTAATTCACTGGAGTATAAGAACTGGGAGGAAGTACAGCACATCAGACTTGCAAGTTTCTGTTATTATGGAATAGCCAATAAAAGTAGTTTTAGCTTTCCTGTGGACTTGATTCCTTGGTCCAGTTCATCTAGTGGGGCTGATAAATGTGTGGACTTCAACTCCCAGGATTCCCCGGCTAGCATGCTGGCTGGGGAATCCTGGGAGTTGAAGTCCACACATCTAAACATTGTCAAGGTTGAGAAACACAGCTGTAGAGGATAAGGAAGAGGACATTGACATAGATGTGCAAATCTGTCACCCTGGATCTCCATCAAGGTCATCTTCCTTATTCTCTACATCTACTTTGCACATATCTAGTTTCTTCCCACTGAAGTGAAATTTATGGGAGCAGAATTTAGATTTTGCTGTGGCTCAGCATTTGGCTACAGCATCCTGCTTATACCAGTCATGAGCAAGTGAACAAAGCCATTCCTTATCATTAATCCCAGTGAAGATAAGTGTCATCTGCCTATGGAAATTTCACTTCCAACTGGCATGACAGCTAGCCACTGATGGATCTCTCTCTCAAGTATTTGTCACATTTACATGAACTCCAGCATCTCTGATGGTAATGAACTTGGTGAGCTAATAATGGCATCATTATGGAACCCCATCAGTTAATAATACAATTAATAGATACTTCCTATCTGTGACCAACCTGCATATATAAACATTCACCACCAGGTGGGTACAAGACAAACACCACTCAGATCCCAAAGACCCCCTGGAAAAGTCTGGTCTTAACAGCTTTGCAGAAGGCCAGGAGAGTCAGTGTCCGATGTCAGGATAATGCTGTTCCAGAGAAGAGGGGAAGCAACAGAGAATGCCTACCTCCAAGATCCCTGTAGATGATACTCCTTAAGGGATGGGATCTGGAGGAAGCCCTCTCTTCCCAAACTTAATGAAAGGACAGAAACCCCTGGGAGTAGGTGGTCCTGTAGATGCTCAGATCTGAATCTGGGGCTTTAAAGGTGACAATCACCATCGTGAATTGTACTTAGTAGCCTGTACGACTCTCAGAGCAGAACTGTTGCATGGGCAAATTAACTGATGCCCATAACTATTTGAGTGCTGCATTTCAGACCATCTAAAATTTCTGAGTAGTCTTCAAGGGCAGCTTCATGTCAGCATATCGCAATAATCCAAATGGGAGATGACCAAGACATGAGTGACTATGAGCAAGACCTCCTGATCTGCAAATGATATAACTGGTACACTAGATGGAGCTGTGCAAAGGCTCTCTTTGCCACAATTACCATCTGCTTTTCCAGGAGCTATGAGTTCAGAAGGACCCCTAGATTATGGATCAACTCTGCCTGAGAAGTGTGACCCGACCCTGTGTAGAGTTAAGGATGCAGTATCTCTGGAATTAGACAGCCTTCACACCCAAAGCCTCTCTGTTTTGATGGGATTGAGCCTCAGCCAGTTCCTCCTCATTTAGACCCTAATACCTTCCATGGATCAAGACAAAATCTGAACCACATCTCCTGTTTATCCTGGAGTTGAGATATATTGCTGGATATCATACTGATGATAAATTATTGTGCACCAGCAGAATCCTCCAGTGGCTTCATGTAGATGTTAAATAGAAGGGCTGAGAGTTTCAACCCCTGTGGCACTCCATATATGAGGGTCTTAACTCTCAAACATTCACACACACACATAACACTGACTATTGGGCAGTCAGGAAGAAAAGTATTCATGCAACACAATGTTGCCTACTCCCAATCCTTGCAGGTAGTCCAGAAGGACACTATGATCAAAGGTCCTGAAAGCTGCTGAGAGTTCAGGAAGGAGCAGGAGGGTGGCACTTCCCTTATTCTATTGCAGGTCATTGACAAGAGCAATCAAGGTGGCTTGGTCCCATACTCAGGCCTGACTAGAAAGAGTCTGGATCATCATACTTCCAGAGATCTCCACAAATGCAGTTCTACCAACCTCTCAACAACTTTCCCACAAAAGGGAAAGCTGGAGACTAGCATTTGAGAAGTCCATCAGCCAGACATGAGGATAATAAATTTCTCCACTCATTTTAATCGTTTTTTTTTCTTTAATTGTTTCTGGAAGTAATATCTGGCCATCAGATCTTACTGTGTAGCTATTATCAGCCTTAACTTCCATTAAATTCGCCATTCCCTTTTAAACTACTGTATCTGGAGTAGTGATCATCCTCACATATTGTGGCTGCCAGTTCCATATGAATGGAATTTTGCCACCCCAGTTCAACATTCGAATGAATGGACATTGGGAGCTCATTTCAGGTACACTGAAATCATAATTTCCCTGTTTTATGGAGTGATGTTTTCTTTACAAGAGGGCTTCTTGTGAAAGCATCAGTAGCATCCCGCAGATGAGAAAGTGGGAGAATGCCTAAAGAATGTGGGTGGTCAAGGACATATATTTGTATATAAAGTATTAACTTTGTTATCTCACAGGCTTCTATGCAGAAGAGTTTTTTCCCCTACATTTGCTTGATATCCTTCTCTGTCACATGTTCCTGTGCAGGACCTTGACTGGGCTACCTAATTTGCACATTTCTCTCTCTCTCTCTCTCTCTCTCTCCTTGCTAATCATTACATACAGAATTGATCCTGTGATCTAGAATGGCTCAGTGGTGAAGGAAATGGCAATGAACCAAAACCTGCAGCTTACCTGCCTGGAGTTTGCAGTCTGGGCAAGAAGATCCCTGATGCAAGCAGCGCACACGAGCTAAGAATGACAATGATGGAAAAGCACCCTTTGCGAGCACCAGTAACAGGATTCATCGCTTTGCTGCTAGAAAGAAAAGTAGATAAGAGATCAGCACCAACATGGACACAATGTCACCCCCTACTGGCATGATTACCTACAGCATCCCCTCCCCACGGATGGCCACCGGATCTTTACCCAACTGTGTTGGAGGCACTGCTCTGACTTCTCGTCGTCCAATCCTCAGTCCTCCCACACGTCAGCAGCCTCTTCCAGGGGCATTTATACCCTTCCAGCTCTGCTTGTGACGCGCTCGGCAAGGCCAGCGCAAGAGGCTGGTGGAGGCATTAGGGTCCAGTTCAATAGAAAAGCAAGACAACATTTTGGAGGAAAAGATGGAGCGGATCCGATTGGAATGGATTGCCCCGTGTCATTCCGATAAAGAAAATAATGAGGTAGTGTAAGGATGGAGTCATGACACGGCTTGTGTAAGTGAAGGAAGATGTAACGGTGATTGTTAGAGAAAGTTTCCTTAAGTAGACAATAGTGAGAAATGGAAATAAACGGAATAATCAGTTGCAAGGGGGTTGGACAGTTAGATATATATTTTTAAGAGATATATAAAATGGAGTAAAAGATAAAGACAAGTGGAATTAAGAGATATTTCTGTAAAATTAAAAATCGACTCTACTTCTCATTTCATACATTCAGATGATTTAAAAAACACACACAAAGCAAAATATGAAAAAGAAGATCAGCACTGTATAGAAAAAGAGACAAAGGAATGTGTGTCACAAGTTTAGGGGGACCTAAAATACCAATAAATTAATGCTAAGTCACAGAAGTTTGTCACAATATAATTTTTAACTTCAAAAGCCTATTAAATAATTCTGCTGCAGCAGATTAACTTAGCTATCATTCTAGAATATGTTGTTATAGACTCCTTAGCAGTGAAAAACTAGTTCAGAGTTTAGGACAATTTGCATATCTCTATCATTGTGCCAAGATATTAGATCAGACACAAGCAGGATTGTCCACAGGGTAGAGGGTCAAAGAAGTCTAGATGGCAGCCACAACCATGTGATCAAAGCCCCACCCTTTTTCACATGGGGCTTTGATTGCAAGGCATTCCCATGACATAAGAAAGAACATGGAGATAAACCAGCTGTGTTCATGAGCTGAAGATTTTTTTCCTTGAAGCAGGGAATCCAAACCAAGGACATCCAGGTTTGTGTGTGTGTATGTGTGTGTAAAAAAAAAAGCAAGACTTTTTTTACTTCCTCCCACAGATCCAAACACCATGTGAGCACCCCCACAAACACACACTTACCAAACACAGGAAGAGCAAAGGTCAGATTGGTGTTTTCTAATGTGCCATTTTAACAGTGCCATACATTTGCAGCCTGAAGCAAGCACTTTGTCTAGCTCCATGGTGAGGCAAATGGCCTGCAAGAAGAACAGACTATTATTATGGTTGGTTGCACAGTCAGCCAGATGTTTAGACTGGATTTGGCATTTTTGTCCACCTATCAAGTCCTTCCCAAGGATTTGGGATAGGCAGATGTTGTTTGATGGAGGTAAAGGTATTGTCACAGGATGAAACCTGTATCAAGTAAAGCTGCCTTTTGCAATTGACTGATGGTGAATTTGTCAATGCTGATGGTGTTCAAGTGGTGCTCCAGATGTTTTGGGATTGGCACCTACTACTATTGGTACTATCTTTGCTTTCTTTTGCTACAATTATTCTACTTCTATTTGCAGGTCTTTGTATTTTGTGATTTTCTCTGGTTCTTTCTCTTCTCTTCTGCTGTTTCCAGGTAGATTGGGATCATGCATTAAATGAAGCCATAAAGTAATTAAGGTTTAATGTTTTATGTGAAGCCAGCTATTATGGTTTGTAAGTAAATTACTATGTGTGGCTTAATAATAGTTTCTTGCCTGGATAAACAAGCCATGGCATAGTAGCATAATTTCTGAACTTGGTGACAAGCAGACAGGAATTTGAGTGTGAAAGTCAGACATAATAACTAGGAGATTTTTAAAGTGTGTATGTGTGAGGGGAGGAGATATAATGAATGTTAACAAGTCAGGGAATTGAGATAGTTCCTTTTTTCATTCTCATTATTAAACTATTTGTATTGGATTCCCCTTGACCCTCCTTGAAAGGTCTTGTCAACATCGCACTAATGAAAACCTCTTTCATGCTAGGAGATGATTCACTGCTTGGCTGTCAATGGAAGGTGGGTGGCTGGGTGGTCCTACTTCTTTCGGGGCCTCATTAATATTGGCTTTGTTAGTGCAGACACGCTAATAAGTCCCAGCAGATATAGCTGTGGGCGGAGTAAGATGGTGAGGCTTTGTGAAAACAATACATGCTTTTTGCAAAAAGTCCTGAGAGGCTACATTCATCTAGCTCAAACCAGAGAACAATACAGAGGTCCAGAAGCATTTCATATTCACCTTATTTCCAGGGAGAAGCAGTAAGACATCTTTAAGTCAGACAAAGGACCACAGGAGTCTGGTACAAGCCATGATGATGTCACATGCATTATGACATCGTTGCACAAATGTCACAATCCATGTCATTTGTGCGATGATGTCATAACACAGGGTGTCACTTATCCCCACTAGCCCTCCCCAGGGATTCCTTTTTTTAAAAAATAATTTTACTGAAGTTTTTAATAAACATAGTAAAAGCTAATACAAACTAGACTAGAAGAAAAAAGAAACATTCAGAAGGTACAGAAAAAAGAAAAACAAAAGAAAAATTAAAAAGTAGAAGAGAAAAGCCAACAAGGCAATAATAAAGAAATGGCTTCCAACCTTTATCACACTGAGCATAAGCTAACATAGTAACTTTTCACCCTGTTTTAAAGCTACAAATAAAAAAAAAACTCTCTTCCCCATAGCCTAACTTTTATCTATACACAATCCAGAAATCATCATCTTCAGTTCTCGTTCAGCAAAAAGTCCATTAGGAGTTACCAGAAATATCAAACAGTTTATCCCTGATCAAATAGTCCAACTTTATATTCCTTCTTATTGCTCTGCACAAACTGGACCTTTAAATCATTCCTGTGACATCATAGGATTTGATCTTTCATCCCTCTTTGGCATTTAAAAGGAGTCTTCAAAGCTTTCACGAGCCTACTTTGTAAATCCCATAAAGAGATGTTGTCCAGGATTTCTTGTTGCAGCTGTTCCATGTCCAGATCCTTTTCTTGATTTGTCTTTTGTACAAATGTTGGTAATCTCAATTTTGTTGTCTTCCATGCTTTCGAACTCTGTAATGTCTATGTCAGGTAAAAGTTTTAAAAAGTTTTTCTCATCATCTAAACATTTATTCACTGAAATCTGTATCCTTTCTGAGATAGTAGTTATTAATATTTCAGTCCATGTTTCAAAAAACTATTTAAGATTTAAAAAAGTGATAGCCGGCTTAGTCATTTTAATTCTTTTCTGCCTGGTCCTTTAAAATTTCCTCTAGTGTCCATTTTCAACCTTCATCAAGCCTCAGTTCCTAATGTGGGTTTATTTCTGTTCCAGTAATTTTCCACAAGTATATTATTTAATTATATACTTGTTTACAAATCTTACAGCAAAAATAACCAATATCCATATCTCTCTGGTCTCACAATCCATTTAAAACTGTCTTAAATCAAAATCCTTCTTTTTTCTTTTTGCCAGTTGTATATTATTCTAAATCCTTAAGCCTCTGTTTAAAATTTCTTAAATCCGAAGAAGAAGATAAAACTCACCAGGCGTCAGATTAAGCTCACTGTTTTGAAGGTCTCTAATATCCATAAAGTGATTAAATTGAAAATTTCTCAATGGGATTAGAACGTGAGTTTGGCTGGCTTAGTGTCCTTATGAAAGGCTCCACTGCTGCTGAGAGCAAAGATGTTGTTTCCCTTGGCTCTTGGTGCTCAAACCTGTGGGAGACATATGTTTTACAGTCCCTTCATGAGGAGCTGCCATTCGGAGCACTTGTGGGCAATCTCCTAATCTCTCCTTCTCCGGAGAGATTCAAAGGACCAGTCTACTCGGTGGTCTTTCATTCTTCACAGCAGTTGACATCTCCGCTTGTTTGTGGAGACGTCTTCAGTCGGTCATGACTCACACTGAAAGCCCCCTCTCCAGGGATTCCCATGTGAGAGACCAAGATGTAGTATGATCATTTTAATCCCCACTTGCACACTTTTGTTTCACTATGGGCCTTTCTATGTTTCCATCTCACAAACATCCCCTGGCAATACCTTTATTTTGTCATGACCCAATGAAGTTGCCTTCACTTTGTCCTCAGTCCATGTATGAACCTAGTCATGGTTAGCTGTACCAGTGTTAAATTGTGGTTTCCCACTAAGCCAGCAGCAGCTTCAGGATATGTACCTGCTGCTGCCCTTTGCTGCCAGTACAGAATGGAGCAGATGGTTCAATGCAGTATCTACTAGCATGACCACTCCTCTCCAGACCCATTCTCCTTTGGTGATCAGAAGAGTGCCCACCACTCCTGGAGCCCACAAAACAGTTGTCCATTTGGCTCTGGTGGTGCCTGGCTCTTCTGCTTTACCAGGAGACCCCAGCCCACTAATCAGCTGATTGGTGGATGGAGGGTAAAGGGGGTGAGCCAAGTTCTTTCAAAATGCAACACACTGCAAGTTTGGTGAGCTTTGAAAAAACTGTTCTTGAACAAGCCCACTGATCAGTTGTGAAACAAATGTAATGCAGGGGTGGTCCTCTGGAACATGTACCTCCTGGCTTTGAACTTTTTAAAAACTTGCTCTGTTTTTGCTCCTCTGTTTGGAGAGCAAGTCTGGTGCTCTTCCTTCGATCTGCACAGTTAGGAGTGGACAAAGAAGCAGAATTGAACTTTTTACTAATTAATACAACTGGTAGACAATCATACTGGATCTCTACAAGGAGAACAAAATGTTGTATTGGATCTCTACAAAGAAAGCAATTTCCCCACCCACCCATCCTTGATCTGGAAGCAATTAAGTAGATATAAATCAAGATTACATTTGTTGAATAATATTTCTGCTAGAAATTGGCAGTCAGAGAGGATGTTCCAAACTTGTGCGGTGGGGCTTGCTGACATATCTGGTGAAATTATGGGGAAAGTTTTCTTGTTTAGATGGTGAATGGCTAGGAGACTCCAGGCAACCTTTCTGATCACCTGCTCTTATCAGAAACAGGATGCTCAATGACGGATCCGAATCTTCAAAGCACCCCCTTCTGCAGGGGTCCA